ATCAAAATAGGAAAATAATTTTTAATTCGAATTAAGAGAAATGTCGGGACTGTTAAGTTTATTAATGTTTTCGAAATTTGAATTATGTTTTATTTTATCGATATTTGTGTTATAACTTTTATTGTTTCCATCTAATTGTAATTGAAAAATGAAAACCAAATTATTTTTGTATTATTCAATTGTTTTTAACACTGCTTATTTATAAAAAAAAAATTGTATAGATTTAAACATATTGTCATCATTTGTAAGACCACCTCAGTTGAAACAAAGGATTTTTTGTTTGTAAACTGGTCTTTTTTAGTATAGTTGGTATGTTGTTACATATGTGATATTTGGTTTCATTCTCATAACGGTGGTGCTAACTCATAAAAAACGTAGTGTTTATAGCTTGGCTTTGCTTTCCCGCCAATGTTCTATAATTAAAAAAAAATATCTATGGAAACAGCCACCAATCTATAAATTTCGAATTCGAAAATCGAATACATTCTAGTTCTTAATATAATTTGCCTCACGTAACTATTTTTTAAAAAATCTGTGTTCTAAATTTGAAAACTGCTATCAATATAGTTGTTCCGAACTTCGTGTCGCTATATTAAATGCATTAATGAATCAATCTACGTCATTCCTCCACCAAAGTTTTACACTATTATCCCGCCACGTTGAGTTGGGCGTTGCGAACGGAGAAAGTTAGTGGGATAAAACTACGTTTATTGGCGTTGCATATTCATCGTACCCCTGGGCATGTTCGGTAGCCAGCATTTGTTGACCGAGCACTATTCCTTTATTATCTTTGAGAACGTGACATTTCGTGAGGCGTGGGAGGTCTACGTTAATTTGTTAACTGTATCAGTTGTGGACGCAGTAACTACTTTTATATTCCGTTTAGTCTAGCGACAATGTTAGGTATTTGGCTTATGAAAATAAGGCAGTAATTGCTGTATATATTACAATATATGACGGGATATTTACTGTAATTGTGTTTTTTATGAGTTCCCGGTACTTCAATGATGTTACAAGATTCAAGACCTAGTCACAGGTTGACTGGCCAGTCGTAATGTTGTAGAGTTGTGTCGAGACGTAAGGGGTACAAAATCTCTGTTGACAATAGCAAAGTACACTTAATTTTTATTGATTTATCCACAGTAATTCGGAATAAAGAGAAAGATACTAAGTACCTACTACGTAAAATGAAGTTCCATTTTATGTCGAATTATTTTGATATTATCTTGATCTACCTGATTTAATAAAAAAAAAATAGAAAAACGTTGACACTATTGTAACGAGAATTATTTTGATGGAATATTTTTGAGTCTTTTATTGGTGATGCTCTGGAATATTCGAGATGAACGTGTATAATTTGAAAAAAGAAACAAATTAAAGTCGCCCTTATATGTTCGACGTTCCATATTCAAACTTTAATTTTACAAATTTTTTAATAAATATTAAATGGCTATTTGCGATCTTACAAAAATAAAAAGTTAATTATGTGTAGTAAAAATTAGATAAAAATATTTGCAAAATAAAAAAAACTGTACCGTACGTATAAGATAAATTTAAGATTACTGAAAATATAGTAATTATAAAGTAACATGAATGAAATTACATTATATGCAATAAAGAAAATGAGTTAATATTTTAATAGAAATAGATATGTTCATGACCGCAATCCAACATGGGGTAGTAAGAGGTAGTATTAATTAAGGCTGTTAAGAACGTAACACCTGACACTATATGCATAATAGATACTATATAAGACATAATTAGCATATAAAATCAAATCGTAACTCCATATTTGGAAGCTATAATAGCTTCCAACTCAGATGTTATAAAACGTATAGAGATCTAGGAAATGGAACTGAATACCTACTTCTGGCGAAACTGTCTCGTCTACTAACTTTACGCATTCAACTGTTTATAACCTAGTTATCAAGGATTATTAATGTTACTATGGAAATTTATTTGTTGAACTAGATATGTAATATCTTTGTTAGTGTCAAACAAATTAAACTAAAAGAAAGGATCTACTCTTCGCGATATCGGTGGTCTAAAGGACATCATGTTATTTTCGACGGTCACAAGTTCGATTCTTCGTACGATAAAACATTTGTATTCTTGAGTATGATTGTTTGTACCGGGCTGGATGTTTTCTATATATATTATGTATTTACAAGAAATAATGTACTTAACTATATTCTATAAAGTATGTGTGATTTCTCCTAGGGTTTTATTATAATTATTATTGAATGACTAATTTTAAGTCAATGCTTCATTCCAAATTTAATAAGCCATAGACTAAATTTTATTTTGTACATAATTTTTGATATGTTATTTTTAATTGGAATCTTTTTAATATAACAGTTAATAAAAATAATTCTATTTTAATATACTTATTTCTGTTAGAAACATTAAGATTCAGTATCTAACCGAAAGGACATAGCCAATATATTATTTTTCTTTCCACACTATTTTCTGAAATGTCACTGCACTCGGAGTTGATAGTGATTACTTGCTTAGTTACTCAGAATGTTTCAGTAAAGTAATGTTACACAGCCTTTTGTAAATTCTAGGTACTTATCTGAGATATAAACATGTGGAGAAAAAACATTTTTTTTTTAATGTTCAATGACTAAGATTGACGTAGTACGTAACTTTCCACTATATTCGATGTACCTACATATGTGTCAGCCAGTATTATGAATTCATTTACTGAGTACTTATGATATTTAGCATAAAAATTGAAATCAAAACAATTTACATTTCCTTGCAACACTTCTAAAAATGTTCATTTTTTGTTTAAAATTGTATACAAGAACACGTTTTATTACGTTAGTGTTTAATCTGCATTTAAAATAAAATAATAAATAAACTAATTCTTAATCTGACGTATATATTAAAATAGAAACTATTTTGACTTGAATTATTTGCAACATTGAAAAATGGCGCGAATACAGACCCATCATTTTAAAAATAAAATTAATAAACGGAACATACTATTAACAGAAACATTTTAGAATGTTTCTTCTATAGTATTTTAGCTTCTTCTTCTATATCTTATTTATATGTAGTTAAGTCACAAAACATAATTATGGCGTATTTTTTTATATAATAATGACACAGGACTACAGAATATAAAGTTATAGTCCTATCTACAATGTTAGGAACAGTCTGATATGTAGCAAAAGTGTCTCGAACGTGTCGGAAGCCGTCGAGGATGTTACGACCAGATTATCGAGTATTTGACGAGTTTGTGGTCCTCAATAGCATAGAACTGCCAGGGGTGTCACTCATTTAATGTCTACACAAATCTGACTTTACGAGTGAGCATAATACATCCGGGCTATTCTGGAAACTAATTTTTTAGACATAAAACCTATAATCCAATGGCATAGCATTGAGTCATTTCGCGCCTAGTTATACTCTTGAATTATTAGTAACGTATTAATTTCATATTACACGGTTAATGTAAGAATTATATTTTTATCGATAATTTGGTTTATATTAATCATGTTTCAAAAGAACAATAACATATAACAAATTGGATTCCAATTGATATTGAGATCATGTGTCCAAAATAGATCTGCAGGTACTTTACTTATTAGTTAGTTAATATTGGAGATTAAATGATAAAACAGTGAAATGTAGATCACATTTCACTGTCATTTCATGTCCCAACATGTTTTTCTTTCTTTACTGTACTTCTATATCTCTTTTATCATAACTACATTTCCAAACATACATATAGTAAATATTAAATATTATAGGTAAATTTGATGTCATGTTAAATAGCCGAGCATATTATAACAAAGCATATATTGGAAATTGAATATCTAGTTCCCTTCAACTGTAATTGACCGTCTTAAAATCAATTTTAAAGCTGAATAAAACGGTCAGATCTAGTAAGAAGGCTGTCGTTCGTTTTAAAATAAACGAGAAACTGCTAGCGAGAGTAGGTACGTTACCATAATCATATAACTCGGCTAGAGATGGAAAATGAAAGTTTATAGCTAACAATCAGTATATTATACATAAATACAACGTAACTTAGGATGTACACTGTACTCCATAAAGACTCATTATGGACTATTTAGAAACGTCTAAAGTAATCTCATTCGAATGAACAGAATCATCAGAAATGCAACGAATCTCAGTAGTTTAAACAAATAAATTATTTAATTTAACTATTAAAAGGAAATTAATTTAGTAATGAAATAAAACAAAATAATTAGAGATAATAAATTACGCGTGTGTATTAAAAATAAAAAAATAACGTAATAATTTACACGGAATAAATTAAATAACTCAGTAGACGCGCCGCGCCTATTCTACATTAACTATACACGATATTTCTACAATTCAGATTCTCAAATAGAATATATTACATATATTTACATTATCACGGTACGCGCTTGAATCTCGTAATATCTGAGAACAATAAGTCGCAGCCTCCCCATTCACCGGTCCGACCGAGGAGTGAGAGTTATTATCCCCGTATACAAACAGCGCACTAACAATATAATCTTAACTAACGCATAAATACACGGTGTATCTGAGATCTAAGTGAACGCATTCGCCGTCACCCATCACCTCAACGAACAAAACCCAAGAATAAATCAATTGGTGTCAAGTCCCCTGATCTGGTTTAAATATTTTCGAACCACCACTGTCCCATAATTTAAATGGAGATGAAACAGTGGCTTCAGGCATCCGAGGACTACTCGTGTAATTTGGTGGCAGCCTAGTCGGCGTGGAAAGAAAACTGCCGTAAGACAACGAGGAGTTAACACCAAGTGATGCATCAAGCGTGGAATAGTACCCTGACGAAGTGGCGGACGGTGGCGGAGGAGCAGGCGGTTGCTGCACGCGACTAGCTTCAGCATACGCATCCAAATGAGTTCTCACTAAAACGAGCAGCTCGTTATAATTCGTCACAGAACTGCCTGTCCCGGCCACCCTGTAAAGCAACAGCCGCGCTTCCCCAAAAAGACTATCCAAAATTTTACCTGTCGTGAAGAGGACGATGGCCTTCAGACAGGAGTACTCCGCCGAGTCCACGTGGAGGGCTTTCAGCTTCTCCACCTGTTCTTGGAAGATTCTTATGTGGTCCATGAAGGCGACCACCCGGTCCGCCGCCATCGGTGAGGCGTGGAGCCCGGCTGCCGCTAACAATGGTGCCACGTGTAAGGGCATTGAACACTGAGATGCGTTTAGGACGAACAGCTCCGACCAGACCAGTCTTAGTAACGCTACTTGATCTGTCACTTGAAGGTCGGGGAAGAACGGTATATTTCTCGCCCATTCCACCGCTGAGAAGAGTAGCCTAGCAGCTAATTCACATATATTATCTATTCCCATAACATTTGTCGGCTGGACACACTGCCCGTATCTTGACGTCGGATAGGGTTCAGCCCGGAGGAGTAACGAGATATAAGAGGAGAGATAAGGATGGCTGTTGAGGCCCGCTGCTGGGTCTCCGTTTGAGAGTCCAAACTGGCCTGGAAGCGCAAGACCAGCGGGTTGTGTGGGAGGGACTCGCCCTCTCTGAACAGCTGAAACAAGGAAAAATAATAATTTGAATTTGCCATGCGCGTAATAATCACAGTATTAAGAGTGTCTTTAGTTGTATATGATAATATAACTTGTACATTGACAGATTTTGGAGAAAGCAAAAACTACTTCTAACACTTTAGGAATAGTTCTTTTGCTTAATTCTTATCCTATATCATTTGTGATATGTTTTTCTCTTTCATTCATCTCTATTTGCTCAGTATTCACTTTCTTTCTTACTATATCATTTTTCATACATTTTATTAATTTCATTATTGTTCTTTCTCTATCCTTATGACTTTACGAATTACCATTTATACATAATTTTTATTTGTATATGTGGTTATAACTAGGCAAATGATTAACTTGTCTGATACAATTATACTAGGAAAGACTTGGTGTTTATTTTGTAATAGATATACTCATAAAAATACTGGATTTAAAAAATTCTTTCGTTTATTTTATAAGTAACATGGAGTATATTATTTTTAAAATGGTACGAGTAGATTAATTGCGGGTATGCAAAGCCAAACATTTTGCCAGTAATATACATATATTCTTAAAATAAATTAGCATGACTATAAAATAATATAACTCATTTAATCATTGTTGACAAGGCTAAAACAGAAGCTCTACAAAAGTGATGTCATACTTTTAACTTAATTGTGGTTGGAATCATTTAAGCAAACAATTACAGCGTCTAGTAGGCTTCTAAAACCATTCGCAGTTAGGATAACGCAGTAAAGACACGTACGGTAGATGGCAATTAGCATGTGAACACCACTTCATTACTTGCGTTATGGCGGCCATAACTCCGTTTATGTGGCCCTAACAACTGCTAGACGAGTAATTATTAATAATGCTTCCTATTTCAACGCCTATTAAGGAATAGAAGGGGTTACTGCTGCGTTCGAGTTTGGTTAGCTTTGTTTTATGTTTTTGAAATAGTTTGACGATAATTGTAATTTAATAATTACTATAAATGTAATTTTATAATTATAATACTTGCAATTTAATAATTACATATGTGTCTAGGTTATTAATTTATAAATTTCAATAAAAATAGCACCACTTGTAATATTTCATGGTGACGCATATACCTACAGAGCATAAATTATTTCAAGAGTGAAATTTGTTTAAGTTGTGATATTGTAAAATAAATAGTTCCACATAATAATAATAATTGAAACCTTATAGTTTCTTTATGGTTAATGTATTATACATTACATATTTTATGTCATATATGTATATTGTTCACCGTGTTTAGAGAAGAGTATTGAATACTATCTTAATACTTAGACTTGGATTTTGATCAATATTTGTTAAGAAAACAATAATGCTTAAGAATAATATACATTAGATAATTATATTGATAGTAAATATATAACTATATACACTTAATCTTCCTAAAAGGAATGCTATTATAATTTTAGATGATATAAAAAATATTTTAAATCTAAAGAGAAAAATGCGCAACATAAATTTCGCACAAGTATTCACAGTTGCAGCACTAAAGCGGTACATTAAGCAGTTAAAACATATTATAAATTATAACCAAACTACAATAATAAGTAATGTATCTTACATAACCTATGATTATGAGGTAAGAGAGAAACAAGCGTTGCTGACTATTATTGCCTTCGAAGCTCTCATTGCAAGGTAACTACGAGTATAAGCTGCAGTGTAATTTCTATTAATGCCTTTTAAATCGTCGTCTAGTCGTGTGTTTGACCTCTATTACCTGTAGTTTCTATATCCACTATACTACTTTTCATTGACGTGATTCCACATTTAATTCTGTTTGTATTTGTTGTAGGGAAAAATATGTTTATCATTAGGAAACTATGATCAAGTGCTTATGAATTAATTCTGAAGGTCAACTAAGGCTGGAAATATTCAAACTGTATTTGTATTTATGTTAATGTTTCCCATTAGTTTTTCCCCGTAAGAGAAGGTTTTAGTCTACTTTTAACATGCATTTATGAAATCATTTTACTTTAGGGTTTTCATTTAGAATTTTCTCTCTTTCATCAATATACATTATTAGTTATATTTGAATGAGATAAAAAGTTGTAGTATGTTCCCTGCTATTTATGAATGTCTTATTGAATTAGTCAAGGAAAGGAAAGTCAACCTAATAAGGCTTTTTAATGTAACTCAAAAGTCATGTTCACTAGAATATCAAATATAAAACTATGATTATAATTATATTCGGATATGATATGACAGGCGAAGTCCAAAATCATATAGATTTATAAATATTTTCAATTTTTTCAGAAACAACATATTTACATTAAAATTACACTTTGATAACAAATAATTTTTTATAATACTATTTTCAATAATAAATATTTTTGTCTTTATATCAAATAATTACAGTTATAAATCTCAAAGCAACTGGAATACCATCATTGATACCATTAGACCGTCAGAAGTTTCCGATACAATTTTCCATAGACCATTGGCACTTTTTATGTGTCAATAAAGAGACAGTTGTGATCGATTCAAAAAAGTTACCGGACTGATGGTCACGATTCCGACAAGTGGACGTGCGAATTGGACAGTGCTTTCATTCATAAAATAGTCATTGAATGTGATATTTCGATTCTCGTCTATCGATTTATATTCGAGATATCTTGGTATTTAGTTATTTTTTATAATACTGCAATCTGTTTTGAAAGACAGTGTTTTCGAAAGTGAAAGCCAGTGAATGATTTCGGTTCAGTGATTCATAAATATTGTGCAAAATGGTATACAATCATTAGGTACTAAGTAGGTATACATCACTTATGTACATAAGAAACTATAAACAAGAAACTGAGAAAATAATTAAAAACTAAGAAATTAGTACTTGTAATAACATATTATTATAACATTCATATAGATGATTATATTTACATAATTAGGATTGTTCTTAATCGTATCTAATCTATGTTTAATCTTATTAATAGTATAAACGCGAAAGTTTGTGAGTATGGATGGATGTTTGTTAGTTTTTCACGCATAAGCTACTGAACGGATTTTGATGAAACTTTACAGTAATATAGCTTAAACATCAAAATAATATATAGGCTATAAATTTCACGCGCGTGTATCCGAAGGCACAGCTAGTAATAATATAAAAAGAAATTTAACTAATGTCAGACATAACTATGAAGAAATTGTCATTAATAAGTAAACAGAGAAAGAGAGGCAATCAATGAGTTTTAGTAAATCGCTTTACAATCCGAACTGAAGATGTTTTAGTCATTACATCTACCATTTTGATCACGAATCTATAATTCGTTTATGAATTTGTCCTCTTTGAGTAACAGGTCGTGAGATGTCGCCCTATCGTATCGCCTATCGTAGAAATACATAGAAATGATCTTTATTCAAATAAATAAATTCACTATTAAATAGTCATATTTTTTGTCTCTATCACTCATTTGGAACGAAGACTGACTGACAAGAAGATTGAGCAAGACACTTGCGTGTCACACTTTTAAATAATTGTTTTAAATTCATTAACAAGGTAGATGCATCCGACAATTAACATGGAAACCGTTACGCACTCATTCTATGTGTATTAGATAATATTGTAAGCAATATAAACCTTAAGTTTTTTTTCTACTGTTATAGTTTCTTATCACTTATCATTTAGAGTCGAAATGATCCCAATTGGCTTGTTGTTTCAATGATGTTGACGATCGTGACAGAAAACCATAGTTTCTGAAGCATGACGAATGACGTGGAAATAGTCGATCATCGCGTCTAATCGCGTTTCGGATATTCTCTCAGATGGTCGACGTAACAGAAATATCTGACGCGCCGGGCATTCCGAGGCGCAACGTTTTTTGGCGGGAATCAAGTGCGGCGAATGCTTGCGCACGCGCTCCCCGCAGTTCTTTTATATTTTTTTCTGGTACTTGAAGACGAAAGATAAACCTGTGAACAGGTTTTACTTTTTTGCTCTTATAATGACATTTTGTTGGAATTTTTGCGGTTGTCACCAGAAGGCAGGTCGTTATGGTCTCAAAGAAATTATAGAAACATACGCGCGGGACGGAGAGCGTCGTGGCTTAGTGGTTTACTACTGACTTACACCCAAGAGGTCGTTAGTTCAAATCTGGGTGACCAAAAAAAACTTTATATATCAATTTATTTTTCTGACACTGACACTCTGGTGAAGGACACATTGAAATCAAACAGAACAATAATGCGAGAGACGGCGGTAGTTTCATCCCGGATAAGTTAGATTCTAATACACATAGCGAAATGTGGGTATGTCATATGTATATGGTGTTCACTAAAACATCGACAGTTGACAATGCTTCTGACCATCCACTGAGATAACAGACAATATGTTAATGCACTGGCCAACAACGGAATTGACTTCGTAAATATAGATATTTGTGGTCATACGTTGGCATTTACAAATACCATTCGAGAGGCATAAGTAACATCGATTCAATTAAAGTGTTACATTACACGGGAATAATTCTGTCCGAATTAGAGTAATTGTGATGGCTATTAGACGGTCTTGGAGAATGTGGGGCGCGGACGCTCCCACGCGCTCGACACCTAGCTTAATGGCTCGTCATTACGCTATCTGCCGATACATCTCGATTCTCGATCGACGGTACATCACTATCTTGTAATCGATGACTCGCTGCGAGCTCGAACAAAGCAATTGTTTAGTGCATTTAGCAACTAATTATGACTAGGAATTTCAACCTGTTACAGGCAATTGGTGACGCTGAAAGTTTAGCCTGGAATCCGAGAGTTGTGGATTTGAATTTTGAAGTAGTTTGAGAATATTATGCAATGAATGGACTTATACAGGGTGCTTTATAAATTAGTTATTCATAGTAACTGTAGAATTAAACGAAAACTCTAAATTATCAGAGGTAGACTATAATAAGTCGTTTTCATTGCCCTCTCACCTATTTCAGCCGCCATAGCAGCATGATTGGTAAGCTTGTGGTTGTAAGGTGCGGTATGGTGTTTTAATATCAAAGTT